TACGCACGACATCCACCCACCCAGAGAGAAAGCACACACACCAACCCACGCATGGAGAGAGAGATAGAGAGAGCGATCATAAAAATGCAGATAGTGTGCAAAATTTGAACTTCAAGAGCCCAAGCATGAAAAACATTCTAGTAGTACCAGTCGGTCCAAAGTCTCAGATGCATTATATGTACGGAAAACTTTTGCAGTGAGGCCAGGCATTAATTCCTTGAGATGAGCATTCAGTTTACTCGTATCCAGCTTGTCAAAAAGATCATCTCCTTCCTTTTTCCCTATTCAGAATAAATGAATAGCAGAACTCAGAGTAAAATGAATAGCAAAACTCAATGGCAAGGCCAACAAATTCATATAGAGAAACAGATTACATTTTCAGGAAATGGGCACTGACCAGAACCAAAATCTCCTATAGCTTTATATACAGGAGGCAGAACCTCCACTGTGTTGAAATATCTGATGGAATCCTTACCGAGGAAATCAAACTGGAAAGAAAGTATCAAGATGAAGATTTGCACTCAATCGATAAGAAGCTAAACAGTTACTTGAGATGTTCAATGATACCTGTAATGAACTTGGAGGAAGTAATGTAACATTTTCCACTTTTAATGTACAGCAACCTACCGTATCGGCTTCATCATCATCCTGATTCACCCAAGAAGCATGTTAAAGAAAACCATTAAGGGAAACAAAAAGCTTATGCTTCCAATTGCTAGTGATTTCACAAACATGTGAGAAAGGCATCCGCGCTGTGAGTGACTACATCAACATATAAGAATGACTAATTACTGACAAACAAACCAAAGCTAATGGGAGACTAAGGTTTCTTTTGAAATGGCATCACGCTGTCCGTACAATGGTATCTAGACAATAAACAAAAAAACTAAGAGAACATAACACCTATCCTTGTAACAAAGAAAAGAAAATCAATTCAACCAGGTTCTGGTTTTCCTCAAGCCTTTAAACCAATGTTGCACATAGGGTGGAGGATTTTTCCTTTTTTACAATCTAAACCCAAATATTCGCCTCAATGTAGAGCGCCATACAGTTGTGGCCTAAGTGCAGTCCAGAAAGTCCTCAAAATATAAGATTTTTTAAAACAAAGAGATAATTGACCTTCTCAGCAACAGAAGCTGACATGGACGTAGAAATTTGGAAGGTGTTCTAGATACGACACTATAATGGAAAATAAATTTGGAAGCTATTCTAGATACGACACTATAATGGAATAGGCGCTAAAAGATTAACAAGGTCAAGAGACAACAACAAGATCATCATCATAGCCTTTTCCCAATTAATTGGGGTCGGCTACATGAATCTCGGTCTGCCATTTTGCCCTATTAAGGGTCATACCTTCAATGAGGCCATAAATCGTCATATCTTTTCTCACTACTTCCAACCATGTGCTTTTGGTCAAGAGACAACAATCTACACAATATATAGTAGTCATTTCACAGTAAGACCACACTTGTGAAAGGGGAAACATGCAATAAATTAGTTTCCATACAGCATTCAATGCAGTTGTGCTTGTTGTTTAGCTAATCCTTATTGTATCATTAAAAATAGGGCCAAACACCACTTTTTCCAGCCTCTTTCACAATGGATTTGGAATGGATCCCAACCATTGTTCAAAATCTATTATATGAAACACACTAAAGCGATGAACTTGTTCATTAAAAGGAAAAAACATCGCATAGGTTCGATAGAGATCAATAAGGTTTTGATTGAGAAGTGTGAACAGGAAGACTCCATACATGAATCTACAGGGGCATCAATGGTAAAAAAAACAAAAAAAAAAAAAGGACCACTCAAATATTCATAATTTCTAACAGTTAATATAGTAAATATTAAATTTTTTTCTTGAATGAGGTACATGTAATTAATATGGCAACTTTTAATTGATGGCTCCTTTCAAGACTAATTGATAGTTTTGCTTAGAATGATGGAAATTGATAAATGAGAGTCACTTCTATCTTGAAGGCAATACCAAGATCGCTAACAAAATGTTAATCATAGAAGGAAGCTATGTGAGAAACGCAGTATCAACAGTGATGTCCAGTCCCTGATTTGCAACAATAGATAGGAACTGGGACGAAGGACAATGAACTCCTATCACAATTAAGATAGAAAGAATACATGTCCAGGATCATACAGATTTAGCAACAAAACACGCCAATGGAAGTTGATTATGTATAAACTTAATTTGGGAAGCTGCAAAGGGTTTACCGAGAAGGAAAGGCGATCATACGAAGGAAAACCTCGGCAGATAAGAAAAGGAAGTACAGACTTTTACTCCTAAGAGGAAACTTAAAGAGAAGCAATAACATAAGGACCTCTGACCCCTGAAAGTAATTGCTATTGTTCATTATTATTTTGAGGTGTACAAAAACGTCAACAAACACAAAACATCCACAATAGGAATTGAACACAAAGAACTAATCAATCAAAGAACACAACCAAGATTTGCTTTTTAACTTTGTTAAAAAAAATGAGGCACAACAGAACTTATCCAAGAGAGGAGTGGATTAGAGGGACACCAATCAGTTGCTGCTATTACATTATGGAATGCACTGATCATTTTAAACTAGTAATCAAGTAGCA